AATAAATAAAATAAAGGTCCATTGACAACTAAAAAATATTTTTTAAAAAACCTTTAGCATGAACAGAATTGAGGTTACAATTTCCAGATCCTGTTTTCATAAGGAAATTCTTTTGTCTCTACTTTTTATTTTCCTCTTCTTCCTCTTCTAAAGTGGACAAATCTACACAAGCTTCAAGCATAAGAATGAAGATCGCATCTTATGCAAAGAACAGATTAGAACAAACCTGATTATCCACATGATCTCTTGGAGCAGAGCTTCCCACTTACCCTGGACCACCTGCCTACCTCAGAAGTATTATGTGGATGTGAGAAAGAAACTTGAATCTTTTTTTGAGTTATTGTATTTGGGGATCTGTTTGTTATAATAGCTTAGCTAGCCTGTGCCCTACTACCAGAGTTGACCTCTTAGAAGAAGGAACATTTGAACTAAAACCTAAATGACAAGAATAAACAAGGCATAAAAAGAAAAGAAAATGCATTTTACCTAAATAAAAATGACCTAAAGAAGAAAAGGACACAAGGAGTGAATGGTGAAGATGATGTTGGAAGAAGGTTAATCAGAACCAGATCACATAAGGGTTTGAGGGCTAGGTTAAGAAAGTTTTATTTCAAGTATGATGGGAAACCACTGGAGAATTTTACTGCTTGTCATAATTGGGCTTATGTTTTAGAAATACCACTCTGGCTACTCTGTAGTAAATCAACTGAAGTGGCAGGTTAAATGCAGAGACTAATAAGGAAACTATTGCAGTAATCCAAGGGAACTCATTTTAATGCTCAAACTAGGGTGGTGGTAAAGAAGACAGAGAGAAAAGACAAATTCTTGAAATGTTTTAGACGTATCAACAACGCAAAGGATGATTAGATGTAAGGGAATGCAAGAAAGAGTGGGATAAAGTTTGCCTTTGGGTTTGAGCAACTGCTATGTAATGAGATGATTGCTGTGTGAAGGGGAGACCATCAAAAGGCAAAGTGGAGGCAGAGAGGTCAGCCAGGGAGCTTCAGTTGAGGACATTTGGGTTTTAGTTTTTTGGTTTTGTTTTGTTTATAGGAAGGAAGCAGATTTTGTTTTGAAAAGGAACAACTTGTTTTAGTCACATTAGCTTCTATATGCTCATTTGGCATTTGAGTAGTCAGGTAGGCAAGTGTTCCAAAAGCTTGGACTAGATGAGGTAGGTCATCTAGGGAGAAAGTGTACATTGAGAAGAGCACAGAGGTGAAGCCAAGAGCACTGCAGCACGGAGAAGAAAATCCAGGTATAGAAAGAAACCCAAAAAGGGAAAAGTGTCACAAGAACCTGGAGAATTATTTCAGGAAAGAAGATCTAGGGCTGGGGGTACAGCTCAGTGGTAGAGTACTGGAAAGGGCATTCTCAGTAGTAGAGCCTGGTATTTGTGAGACCCTAATTCCACCTCCACCTGGTCTCCCCACACACAAAAGGAAAGTACAAGGTTTTTTTTGTTTTGTTTTGTTTTTTGTGTTTTTTTTTTGTACAGGGGATTGAACCACCAGAGGTACTTAACCACTGAGCCACATCCCCAGCCCTTTTTATGTTTTATTTTGAGACAGGATCTCACTAAATTGCTTAGGGCCTCACTAAATTGCTGAGGCTGGCTTTGAACTCTCAATCCTCCTGCCTCACCCTCCCAGGCACTAGGATTACAGGAGTGAGCCACCACGCTTGGCTAAGTACAGGTAATTGTACAACAAGCTATTGAAAGATTGAATATACTCAAGCTGAAGCTGGAGGATCAGGCCAGCCCTGAACAACTTAGCAGACCCTGTCTCAAAATAAAATTTTAAAAAAAGCTGGGTGTGGTGGCACATACCTGTAATCTCAGTGACTCAGGAGGCTAAGACAGGATAAACAAAGTTCAAGGCCAATCTCAGTAATTTAGTAAAACCCTGAGCAATTAAGTGAAACTCTCTGTCTCTAATAAAATATTAAAAAGGGCTGGGGGGGCTGGGGTTGTGGCTCTGCAGTAGAACACTTGCATAGCATGTGTGAGGCACTGGGTTTGATTCTCAGCACCAAATTTAAATAAATAAAATAAAGATCCATTGACATCTTAAAAAAAAAATGCTGGGGATGTGGCTCGGTGGATCAGTACCCCTGGGTTTAATCCCTGGTACCAAAGGGGAAAAAAATTTTCTTTTTTTTTTTTAAAGAGCTGGGGCCAGGTGTGATGGCAAGTTCGCAAACCACCTCAGCAACTTAGCAAAGCCCTAAGTAACTTAGTGAGACCCTGTATCAAAAGAAAAAATGAAAAAAGGGCTCAGGATGTAGCTCAGTGGTAAACTATTCCTGGGTTCAATCCTCTATTACCCACCCTGCCAAAGAAAAAAGAGCTGGGGATGTAGCTCAGTCTTAGAGTGCCTGCCTAGCTTGGATGAGACCCTTTGTTCAATACCCAGTACCATAGGAGCACACACAAAAAGACTGAATAAATGACAATTGAGACCAACCATTGAACCACTGGGTTTAGCAAGATGTGGACCCTGAGAAGTGGCTTTTTGGTCAAGTCCTAGAGATAAAATTCTATTTGGAGGATTTGAAGAAGCAATGAGGTAGAAATTGCAAGTGTGGACTTGTCTTTTATATCTTTCAAGGAGTTTTACTGTTAAGGGGAGCAGAGAAATTGGGTTACAACTCAAGAGAAGAGTGGAGTCAGGTAAGGAGTTTCTAAAGTTGAGTTGGAATAAAGCTGGGGATGTGGCTCAGTCATAAAGTGTATACTCAGCATGTTGGAGGTCCTGGGTTCAATTCCTAGCAAGCGCGTGTGCATGCACACACACACACACACACACAAGGTTGAGATTCTATTAGGAATGATTACTAAAAAGAGTATGGGGAGTGGTGTCTTAAGAAGACCTGCAAGGTCAAATGCTGCTCAATAAGTATTTTTTTTTTTTTAATGAGGGAAAAAGGACACTCTAATGGGAAGAGGTTGATGAGAAAGGAAACCAGTTTAGGAATGATAAATATGTTTTAGACATGTTGAGTTCAGTGAAATATTTAAGTTAAGATTAACTAACTTAATAATAAGTACAAGAGCTGGGCATGGTTGGCATGCCAGTAATCCCAGCAACTCAGGAGGCTGAGACAGGAGGATTACCAAGTTCAACACCAGCCTCAGCAATTTAGGGAGGCCCTAAGCAATTTAGCAAGACTCTGTATCAAAATAAAAAATTAAAAGGGCTGTAGATGTACTTCAATGGTAAGGCACCCCTGGGTTCAATCCCCAGTACCAAAGGAAAAAAAAAGTACAAAGGACTTTGAGCTTCAAGACAATAATGATGCCTAAGAAAAATTATATATTTTACAAATGATCAGTCCAATTCATAGACACTATTTTAAATTATCCTATATCAAATTAACAAGGATTTACCTTGCCAAGATTCTTGGCACTTTTATATTGACTTAAATTGCATTGGGAAAAGCATAATGGTAATTGAAAAGCAACTAATTATAAGCAATTATAAGCCAAATTATGTTTATACCACAATTAGTGTTTGAGGTGGTTTAGTAGGCAGATTCTTCATTTCAATAAGCAACCATCAAATAATTGAATAGCTTGTAAAATAGAAATACTCCTTTTATCTTTATTCCAAGCTTAACAATTACATCCTCTTTTAATTATTATTATAATAAAATAAGTAGCATTTTATTATCTTTTGTTCCAATCCCCAATTTGAATTGGATGCTTTTAAAAACATGGCACAAGTTTCATGGTGACTGGTCTTGTTCTTGTAAGACAAGTACCATCTTGCAGGGTATCTACAGTAGGAACTCCCACCATGCCATTTTCAGTGGATTTTTCATGCTGATATTATCTTATTTCACTTTGAGGAAAGTTTTTCATTACGAATAATAGGAGTAAGTTACTTTGTCTTGTGACAATGGTAGTTTTTATGTCAAGGTGGTTTTTACTCCAGTATTTCCAAGTCATAAATAACTTCGTTACAATTTTGCCACCTCGGGTTAAACGTAAGTATACTTCATACTACTTTTAAAATATAAAGTAGACTTTACAACTACTTTATACTTTACATTGATTAGTGATATTTTAGAGAAATGGTTCTTTAAATTGCCTCAAGTGATAGCTCTGGAGTCTGTTACATCAATAACTGCGCCGCAAATTTGGGGGATTGGGAGGACACCCTTTCAATCAGTTCATCAGTTTAAGAAACATATTATCAAATAGCCTCAGATTATATTTAACAAACCTAGTTTCTATAAGTAGTTTTGCTGAATAAATTCCCGACCAGTTCAAGGGCGGCTGTTGCGTTCGGCCAACTCCAAGGCTCGCCTAGTCACATGGTGAGAGATAGGTACAGGAGCCCTCCAAGGCGGGACGCCACGTTGCTTTTTCCCCTTTTGAAAAGGAGACAACGCTTCTGGCTATTGTGTAAACGGGTCGAGAATTACATTCATTTGCACGTCAGATAACGCGGGAGCTGAATAAAAGCGCCTTCTAATTCGACCCCTGGCACCTTCTGTGTCACGGACAAATGCTGACTTTTAATGCTTGATTGCGTTCGCCTCAAGGAAACACACTTTAAAGAACGGCCAAGTACCTCAGCAGTCGCGGCAAACTGCACAGAATCAAAACCACCAGCCAACCTAGCACAGGCCACCACCCCAGTCAAACCCGCCAACACCCCTAAGGACGCCCCCATGTTCTCTGCTAACAAGTTGTATGCAGGGCTGGACAGCCTTTCCTCACTCCGTTCCCGCTCTCCCCACCCACTCTGAATTCAACCCCAGTTCCTGGTCCCCGTCGGACAACGCCGCGGAGGATCCGGCTCAGGGGACTGTGATAGTTCCATCTGCAGCGCAGCTGGTAGTTCCCAGCGCTCCCTATCGGCCCAACGCCAGCCAGCCGCGGCTCAGCCACTAATGAGTGACAGCGAGCTGCTCCTATGAGTCGTGGGGGGCGGGACTATGCGTCATTTCCTGGCCTTTCGGAGACCCGCCGTATATAAGGTCTGCACTCACGCAGCGCTCTCGCTTACACAGTATGGCCGGCGACATTAGCTAGCGCTCGCTCTACTCTCTGTAACGGGAAAGCAGCGGACTACAAGAGACTGAACTGTATCTGCCTCTATTTCCAACAGACTCACATTCAACTTTCGCTCACACACACAAAGCCGGGAAAATTTTATTAATCCTTTTTTAAAAAAATTTAATATAAAATTATAGCAAAAAAAAGGAACCTGAACTTTAGTAACAGCTGAAACAATCCGCAGCGGCGGCGGCGGCGGCAGCGGCGGGAGAAGAGATTTAATTTAGTTGATTTTCTGTGGTTGTTGGTTGTTCGCAGTCTCACGGTGATGGAAGCTGCACATTTTTTCGAAGGGACCGAGAAGCTGCTGGAGGTTTGGTTCTCCCGGCAGCAACCCGACGCAAACCAAGGATCTGGGGATCTTCGCACTATCCCGAGGTAGGTGTCCGTGGCGCTCTCCCGCAGATCCGGGCCCGAGGGTCGTCTCTGCTTTCAAAGCACCAGACCCTAGCCCCTGCCGGATACCCGCAGCCTTCAGGTGGGGCCGAGGCCGCGAGCAGGGGTCGTTTCGACCGCCGTGGAGGGCGCGGAGTCTTGTGGGGAAGCAGCGCGTCCACGCGAGGCGGGAACCGGCTTCTCCCGTTGCCCGGCAGGCACTGCCCTGGGGGAGGGGAGGAGGCCGGCATGGCCGCGTGCTCAGGTAAAGTCCCCGGCCGCGCGTGCGGGGCGGCGGGCGGTGGGCGACGCCGCGCGGCGTGGTTTTGCGGCCCATGCCTCTTCCACACTCCTGTCCGTTGTTGGCAGTACAGGCCCTGAAAGGTGGCGGGCGCCTGGGTGGGAGGCTGCGCGGGCTCCCTGGGGCAGGTGTGGCTGCGCTGGCTCAGGCGCTAATTCGGGTGTGCCCGCTTCGGGTAGGGGCGGAGGGAGCGAGCGGGACTCTTTTTTTTTTCTTCTCTCCCTGGGCGCCTAGAGGAAGGGGCCCTCTGGCCTTGGTGGAGGGGTTGGCGAGCAGGCCTCCCGCCGCGGTCTCGGCGGACAACGTGTGGCGCTTGGGCGGCGGGGATTGGGCGGGAGCCGCCGTGTCGCAGAGGCTGGGCCCCACCGCCGCCCTAACGTGCTCTATGGCAGAGCGTTTTCAGGGCAGTAGGTGGGTTGTGATAATGTTGGGGAAGCCACTGGAGACGCCGTGGATTCGCCAAGGGTTGCCCCCTGGTCTCTTGACCTTGGGTTGTGTAACCTGTTACTGAGCGGCAGGAACCGGGAGACCGCAGTAGGGTTGAGGAGAGGTGCAGGGGTGGGGAGGTCTGTCCACATTTGCGGGGTAGAAGCTTGTCTGTCCCAGGACATAATACCTTTAATGCTTAAGCTTAAGGAAAGGAATGGGGCCCCACTCGCACCGTGGGAGGTCAAGCGCGAGAGAGCTGAGCTGGTCGCCCGGTAGTGCTCTTTTTGTAGTTTTGCTGTAGAAATGGAAGCGCAGATAAATGCACAGGCGATGTTGAGGATGCATGGGCCCTGTTCCTGGCGGCGTTCACACCAGTAGCAACCCGTCGCCCTCCTAGGCCCCTCCGCGGTTTCCCGGCGCGTTAGAGAGGCCAGGGTGGCGGTGTGGCGGAGAAACCGGCGTGTCCCGCTTCATTGAGATGCGGCGACCAATGAGCTCCTGGGCTCCTCCAAGAGCCTGGCCCCAGGGTGTGGGCCAATGGGCGTTTTAGGAATGTTGGCTGCGCTTGCAGCCGTCCCTTGACAAAAAGCAACTGGAGAAGAGAATCCAGGCGGACACGTGCTGCTGAGACTTTAAGGCACACTGGGAAACGCAGTTCTTGAACGTTTCCACTGTAGGGGAAAAATTCTTGGTTACTAAAATGCCACGGGCCTTATTTTTCAAGCTTCGTGTGGCACTTATAATGTCTAACATGGCATATGTGCCAGGCCCAGTTCAAAAGAAACACTTTAAAAATATGTGTGTGTGTGTGTGTGTGTGTGTGTATGGAAGAGGTTACTTTTTTCCAAAATAACCTCGGCGAAGCTTATTTTTAGAGGTAGGAAAACTTGTTTGTGATAGGCATTTGGAAAAATTATTGGCATCTGCATTATCACCTAGAAAATCTTGGCAAGAACAGGCCTCGAAAATAATAAAAGTTATGTTGGTGTAGTTATTCACATATTTGAAGCCTTAAATAATTTGTAACACACGTTCTTAATAGAAGAGTTTTGTTCTCTTCTAAGGCAAAAATGCCAGAATTTGTGCTTGGATTCTTTTAGTAAAGTGTTTACTGAGTGAAGGAGAGGGAGAAAGGCTTTTTACAAGGCAGCCCATTTTCTTTAAACGTTTAAGAACCACTTTTACATGGTACTTATTACATCTGAAATACTTTTACTGCTTCAGTGTAACTCAAAATGATGGCAAAAGTTAAGCCTTTAAAGACAGAATATTCTGGGTTTTGCCTTTTTTTTTTTTAAGATTTCATAACTTGGTGCCATTGTGGGCATTTAACATTCATTGAACTACCATTGGTAATCTACCACAAATCGGATGCTTTAGATAAGGCAAATTAAGTAATAACTGAAAATTATCTGTGGTAAGGAAGACATCTGTTGGTAGCCTTTGTGGGAACATTTTTTAGTAGCCAGTCAAGCTAAGGATGCACTGGTTGGGCTATTAAGGTAGAAAAGTATCTGAAAAATAATGAATAGATATCGCCTAAAATCAATGGCTTAGCAAGAGAGGAATCATTTGAAGGGAGACTGGTCTTTGAGGAGTTGGTGCAGGCCCCAGAAAAACCCCTGGAAGAATTATCTGTCAGAAGAATATACATAATGAAGTGGCTTAAGTTCATGGCCTCTGGATTTGAATCCTAACTGCATTAAATAGTGTGAATCCTTTCCTCATCTTTAAAATGGAGACAATAATGGAATACCTTGAGGTAGTGTGAGGATTAAATAGGTTAATGTTTTCTACAGTAAAACATTACCTTTGTTTTAGGTTTCAATTTAAGGACAAAAATCTTCTTTTAGAGCAACCAAGGCTAGAGAAGAAAGCATGATGCCAAGTTGTAATAAAAAAGATACACTTGAAAGATGCCTTAGCGATTTGATGTGCAGCAGTTACTTTTATTCAAAGAGGAAAAATAGTCACTGGAGAGTTTTAGACTGCTTTGTACATTCATCCTTCCACAGAATACTCTTAGTAGCTTTGTGTTTATTAAATGGTTAAAAAATTGAAAACCAGAAAGTCCTTGCTTATCCTTGACCATCCTGCTGCCCTGAATGTCCATTAAAAGGTGAATAGACAAAAGGTGACTGCTAAAAGATTAACAGTCTGGGTTAAAGTAAACAAGTCTATTTGTGAAATATATTAAACATAATAATATAGAAATGATTAAGAGATTGAGAAGGCTAAGGTGTCCAAGGAACTTTTTTTAGATGCCTAAGACATTAAAAAGATAAGGGTATTTATCTAGAAAAATGCCTTTCCAAAAATGATACAAGTAGATTAAAAAACCTAAAATAGTCCCAATAATTGTTATTACATACGCTGAAGTAGTCATTAATCATCTTACAAAGAAAACTAGACCCAGATGGTTTCACTGGAATATTATATCCAAGGAAGAAATGATAATAACCTTTTCACATTTTCCCAGGATGTAAATGATTTTGTGGTCAGCATTATTTTTATAACATGACTTGACAAGATGTGAAGGACTGGGACATTCTCTGACAGGATAGAAAAGGGTACAAGCCCATGTTGAACTTGGGCCGCATGCTAGTACTTTCTCCACCACTGAGCTCCACCCCCAAATCTGGCGATTTTTTAAAAAAGTTAATATCTGTCATGAATCCCTCTAGTCAAAGATAACAAATATGTCTCCATACAAAGACTTCTACGTGAATGTTCTTGGTAGCTTTATTTATAATAGACCCCAAACAGGAAGCAAATGTCTACTAAAACAGGCAAATGGGTGAGCAAATTATTGTATGTCCGTACAGTAGAATTCTACCCAGACATTTAAAAATGAGCCATTGATATGCAAGAACATGAATGATAATGTAAAAGTAATTAACACTGATTAAAAGAAGCTAGACAAAAGTACATATTTAAACACTAAAAAGTGCAAACTCATCTGATAGAAGACAGATCCATGTTTGCTTGAGGATGGAATAAGGGAGAGGTGTATTATGAAGGAGCATGAGGGACTTTTGGAGATAAATTCCTGACTGATGAGCATGGTACTGGAGATTGAACCCAGAGCTTTGAGCATCCTTCTTAAGCAAGTGCTATTTTTCTGTTTTTGTTTTTTTTTTTTCTATTTATGAAATGTTCAATCAGGTCTATTTGCCTACCTTTGGGTTGACTTTTCAATTTGTAAGATGTATATTAGAAATATTTTTCTTGCTGTATTCCTTTTTTTTTTTTTTGTATGGTATCTTTCTGAGAAGAAGAAAAGCCTATTGATAGTTTCTCTTTAATAATTAGCTGATTTTGCATTGTATGTAAGACATGCCAAAGTCTGGAAGACACACCCCTCAAGATTATTTTACCTTTCATAATCAGATCTTTAGTTCACCTGGGATTGATTTGTGGATAAGGGAATAGAAAGCGCTTGAAACAAAATTTGTGTATCTTTCCCAGCTTTAAAGGCAAATCAAGCTGGAAACTTCTTCCTGAATTTTATTTATTTTTTTCCTAAATAGTTCTTACCCTCTTATAGGGTAATTCATCTTGAGTGTAATTCAAAAGAATTACATAGTAATGAGAAGTTTTTGTGCTAAATTTCTCAAATGAGAAGAGAGATATGTGGGGTTTTTGTTTGTTCTTAACAAAAGAAACCCTTAGCTGGTATAGTTGGGTTAAAGAGTATTAACGTTTGTTGAACAGCAACTAGACATCCAGATGATCTGTGGGTTTTAAAAAACTTACTTCATATGGTATTTGAATTTGAAATATTAAAAGGGAGAGGCAACTTCTTAGGGTTAACCTGAAGTTTAAGATCTTAAAAGTATGGATTATAATTGTAGCACATGGGAGAGCACTTGCCTGCTGTGTGCCAAGACACTGGGTTCATTCTCTAGCACCAAAGAAGAGAGCTGGGGATATAGCTCAGAATATTGGATAAAATTCACTGGCCATATAGAAAATGCCTTAGGGCCATTGCACTAAAATTATGGACCAAACAAGCCTTTTTATAAGAAATGGCAACTTGAGCAGGGTGGAAATATTGAGGAAGAAGTCTGTTAGAAAATTTTTGATGAGAAAACAGTTTAATTTTTTTTTTCAGGATTATAAAATCCTTCTTGCTTTTAAATTGATAATAGACCTCAAGCTGTTCATGGTAAGGAGGTTGAGTTTAGCTGGGAAATTCTAGTGGAGGTGAAGAGAATAAATGTTTTAATAATTTTGGGAGTGTTACAGGTGTTTTTAGTTATGAAAACTAGAA